AATACATGAATAAAATTATATTAAAAATACTCTTAACATACTCATGGGTTTGGCTGTTAAAACCACAGCATGGCTAAAATGGGAGATTTTTGTAGCAGACAGTACGTATCTACAGAACAGAGTAAACCATTTCATAACATTCTAGTTCTGCAAATTATATCAGGGCCAGGGGGAAATATGAAGCTCCTTTGTACTAAAACTGTAGAGATCACACTTCTGTTTTATTATGATTGTAAAATACCCATTGCCTTAGATACTCTCCATCTTCTTGACTGCTTTCTAGCCACATCCAGTGCCTAGAAGCATTTCAAAGTACAGCTATGATTTTGCGGTCATAGGCTGCAGCATAAACTATTCTTCATAGCTTGCTTCTAGCTCATGGTACTTTTCTTCAGCTCAGATTTTGGGTTACAACAGAAAGTGTTAGTGCAACCAGATCAAAAAGTTTAATTTGTGCAAACTGGCATCCTGTGATTGGAATTTGGCTGCTGTTACCTTTCTTAAGACCATAACAGGCCAGATCCAGATAAAAGCTAGGAAGAATAATAGTTACCATAGAGCTGGTGGTAACATAAAGAGGATATAAAGTCCAGCTCTAATTTGCACTTGGAAGATGCAAGACAGCGTAAGATATAATCTTGTGTGTACCACTAGGAACTGGTTCCATTCATCCTGGTCATCTAAGGAATCCTCTCAAGGGATGACTGGTGTTATGGGGTAAGGAAAAATGAGCATGGAATTTATCTTACTCAAGGAAAGATGAGAAGTCATTTGCATCTGTTTCAACGTTCTTGGGACAATGAATGTTGACGGCGGCCTTAGCATCTGAGTTAAAGCACAATCTATTTTTAGACTGGAAGTGTGGGAAGTTTAGGATCTGATTTTCAGAGGTGATGGGAAAAGGTATCATCTCAGTCCCATTCATACCAGGAGCCAAATAAATCCTGTATTCTCTACCTGTCAGTAGATGTAGCTGGTTCCTCTGAGGGAAATGAAGTAGCAGAAATGCTGAGCGCCCTCTTCTGAGTAAATTCAGAGGGAACAAGTCACCAGCTACTTCATACTGGGCGTTTGAATCAGTCACACTGAATCAAACCAGCCAGTAGTCCATTCAGTCTCATCTCCTGCCTGTGTCAGTGACAACACCCAGATGCTTCAGAGGAAGGTGCAAAATCCCTGTGTTGTACAACTAAGGGAAAGTTTAATACGGGAAAGTTTCTTGCCAAACCCAAACAATTAGATTTCATGCTTCAGAGTGTGAATTAAGTGTTGTCTTTTATCGTTGGCCTCTCAGTGCCGCAGTATGCCCAGGCTGAAGAAACATTACATTAGGTAGCAAAATTGCTCCTCCCTTGAAGCAAGGATTTGATTTCTTAAAATAGAGGTTTTATTTGAGTCTTGGTAACCTTATTCTGGGTACTAAACTTAGCTTCCTTGTTTAAGATTCTTGTATTTTTAAGGCCAGTAGAGACCATTCAATCATTTAGTCCAGGGGTGGGCAAATTTTTTGGCCTGAGAGCCACATTGGGTTTCCGAAATTGTATGGAGGGCCGGTTAGGGAGGCTGTGCCTCCCCAAACGGCCAGGCGTGGCCCAGCCCCTGACCCCTATCCGACCCCCCCATGCTTCTCGCCCCCTGATGGCCCCCCGGGACCCCTGCCCCATCCACCCCCCTCCCCTCGCTCCCTGTCCCCTGACCACCCTGGACCTCTCACCCCTGACTGCCCCCACATCCAACCCCTCCTCTCATTCCTGACTGCCCCCCCAGACTCCTGCCCCATCCAACCACCCTTTCTCCCTGTGCCCTGACTGCCCCCGGAACCCCTGCCCCTCACTGCCCCCCCCAAGACCCTGCCCCCATTCAACCCCCCCCCCCTCCTTCCTGACTGCCCCCCTGAGACCTCTGCCTCCATTCAACCCCCGTTCCCTGCCCTCTGACAGCCCCCATCCACCACCCGAACTCCCCCGCCCTCTATCCAACCCCCCCTGCTCCCTGCCCCCTTACTGCGCCGCCCAGAGCGCCAGGACAGGCAGGAGCTCGCAGCCACGCCGCCCAGAGCGCCAGGACAGGCAGGAGCTCGCAGCCTCGCTGCCCAGAGCATGGCATCAGCGGCGCAGTGAGCTGAAGCTGTGCGGGAGGGGGAACAGCAGGGGAGGGGCCGGGGGCTAGCCTCCCGGGCCAGGAGCTCAGGGGCCAGGCAGGAGGGTCCCGTGGGCCATAGTTTGCCCACCTGTGATCTACTCCGACCTCCTGTACAAACACAGACCATTAAAATCCATCCAGTTATCCCTGTATTATGCCCAATAACTGGTGTCCCATTTCATCCCAGGCAGTGTTTGGGGTTCAGATGGAGCCAGTAGAGGTGGCAATGTTATCTGGATCCCTCTCTCTGGCCCGGTCTGGTCAGGACATCCCTCAGGATTAGGATGAAGAAGGTCTGGGGTCGCAGAAAATGGTGGGTGTGGCAACCATGATGGTGAAGCTTGCTCCAGTAGCCTCCGTCTATTCTTCCATATTCCCCCCACCCACCACCCTGAAATGTCTTTCTTTTAAGACCCAGAAAGGAAGTGATGGGTGGAATAGCCCATCCCTGCATTATATTTTTGTCCCCCCATTAGGCCTAATATCCAACACATCAATTCTGGTTCATTGATTTCTGGTTCCATATCTTTTGTTTCTAAGAAACATGGTTGCAACATTGTCCTTGAGGTATATTAACATGGCCTTTTCTGCTTCTCTGTATGGTTTTCTTGCACCTGTTTATAACATTTATTACTGAAAACTTTTTCCATTAACATTTGTTATATGTTGCTGTAATCATCTTATGAACTTTTATATACTTTTTACAATTGAGCTCACAATTAGGGTAAATCTGTAGGCCCAATTATCACAACAAACACACACTCCTTACCATGGCTATGCTGCAATGAAGTTATGCTCCTTATTCCTCATTAGAGCCACTGGCCACAGAACTGCATTTTCTGGAATGAACCAAGTCCCATGGCACTTAATACACCAAAATCAATAAAGACATAACCCCTTTGCTGAAGATCCAGACAATACCTCTCAAAATGATTCAACAGCAGATAAAAAAAACAGCTAGCAAAGAAAGATCAGCCATTGCATTTACACTGAAACTAGTTACTGTAGTTCTTCCACAAACTGGTTTGCTTCAGTTCACTTTTGCTGACCCATTTCTTTCTAAGAATATGTAAGGCACATGTTTCAGCCACGCTTGAGACAACATTGTATGTGAAACAAGTAGTCTGGGACTAAGACTGGAAAAACTTTTATGAAAGGAACAGAATGCAGATATGGCACAGTGCATTCAGTGTCTAGAATGTAATCACATGTGGTAGGATGAGAAAAGAATATTGTAAAAAAAGGTTGCATAACACGGGCATGAAAAAAGAAAAAGGAAAGAGGGGGAAATGGTGTGTCAGATATGAACAGCAAATGGAACCCAAAAACTCTATTTAAAAAGACAGATGAAAAGCGATCTTTCAAAAACAATCCTTACCTATGTTACTAACACCTCCTTTCTTAATTAAAATTGAATTAAAAAAACAGTATTGTTATCTTTCTGCATTTCACTTCGCTTGGACAAAGAATATTGAGAGGCAGCATTATTTGGGGAAATAACACAGACTCAAGAGTAACACATGGTCCACACTACTAAGCAGGACCAGCTTGCCTAAACAGGCTAGGCAGGTGGGTAGTTGTGATCAGAACGCTGATTGCCTGAGAACTGCACGCCCAGATCGTCTGAACTAAAAAATTCTATTATTTTTGTTACCCCGTCCTACCCTTCCGTCCCCACACCTCACATTTTTAGATGCAGGCTCTTTGGGGCACGAGTATCATTTACCAAATGCTTGTCCGGTGCTTAGCACACTGGAGCCTCAGCCTGGATGAGAGCTCTAGACACGACCACAATATATAGTCTCTGCTGCTTATGATTCCATAGCATGGCATATTTCAGTTCACAGAAGGAGCTGCAATGGCGCCATGAAGTGGAGAAAACATCAGGTTTAGGAGAAAACAGATGGTAAAACATGATATTTCCTCCACTTACCTTCATTGAGCCATTGTAGCGGCTCTTGACAGTGGAAACAGGAATTGCTTGTGATATCACCAGCAGCATTGGACTCCAATGACTTTGCTGGGAGAAAAAATGACAGTCCAGGGACAATTAAGTTTTCTTTAATTTGTGTGTAATTACTGACAAGGTACATAAATCAATTTTCAACAAAACATTGAACACGTAATAAATTAGGCAATGTCCAAGCTTTAAATAGGGTCCAGTATCATGGGACATGGCAAGACAGAAAAACACTGCCCATGGGTGCTGGAACTAGGGGCACGGGGGGTGCTGCTGCACCCCCTGGATGGAAGAGGATTCCATCATAACACAGAGTTCATGGTTTGGTTCAATGGCTCTCAGCACCCCACCACTATAAAAATTGTTCCAGCACCCCTAACATTACAGCAGGGCCAGTCCAAATGCTTTTTGGACAGGTAAGCAGGACAATTTTCAGCCCCAGATTTTCAACACCACCACTACTCACCGGCATTACCACCGCTCACCAGCAGCTGGAATTCCCCGTCTCACCCAGTGAGGCTGGAATTTAAAGGCATTGTCTTCCTGCATGCAGGGGATAGGGGAGGAAGGTTGGTGTCTGCTTGCACTGGGGAGGATGTATATCTGCTGTGGCCTGGGCTTGTAGCATAACATACTAGCCTGTGACTCAGACAGAGCTCCCAAACACAAACTGCTACATGCAGATGCCTTTCCAGGAAATGCTATCTTGAGCATGGTGCAACATGAAGGAAACATTCCTTCATCTGGTGAGCTCAGACATGAACCAGATAGGGGGAAGCATGCTTTTCATGCAGTTTTTCTTTAGCAAGCAACAGGTGATCTGTACCAGTCTCAGTGCTTTTTGCAGACACTTTTAGGCCTAACACATGGCAAAGTCACTTCTGAAGGGGCAAATTACCTTTCCTTTTCCATCTGCTTTTCTTCCTGTCTTTGTTACTGCCACCATCACTGCTACTCCTGCTGCTGCTACTGTTCTCCGAGCTGTGAGAGTCTGACTGCGCGTCACTGCTCTCTTCTGAGCCGTCAGACAGCTCTTTTAATCCGTCTGGAACATCCTTCTGCAAATGAAAGAAAATCAGGTGGAGTCAATGTGACCTACTCCAATTCCATGAAAAAATGTACGGGAAACCAAAAGAACCTCAAAGGAAAAGAGTTTCAGTATTATTTACTAAGCACTGACAATGGTTTCTTCTATGCAGCAGAGTGATGTCAGAGACAATCCGCTTCTCTGGCTTCTCACACCCCCACCTGGCCCTGTAACAACTCATACAAAACGCTGCCACTAAACTCCTCTGTCTTGCCTGTCACTCATCCGGCCATCCCTTTATATTTTTCTGTCACCACATTCAATTGCTCTGCCTTCCTTACATACCTGTCACTCTCTCATTCCAACATCCCCACCTGCCACCTTGCTCACCAACACCACTAACCTTAACTATTTATTACCTTCCCTTCTGCAGATGTAAGCCCCTCTTGAACAAGTTCTCTATGGGTTGTATTCCTGCTCCCTAACCACTATGTCTGGCCTTAGATTGTGAACTTCCCTGGGAAAGGGGCCATTTCTTGTCTGTTTGAAAGCACCTAGCCCAGGATAATAAATCTTCCTCCACCACCCAACCGCAACAAACAAACCACACAATATAATCATTCTATTATTTATATAACATCAAAAGTGTGCAAAGTGCTTTACAAACAACTTGGAAGAGGACATTATCCCTTCCCCTGATGAACTTAGAATCCAAAGAGATTACTGAAGAAGTGGGTTTTTTACCCACGGAAGCTTATGCCCAAATAAATCTGTTAGTCTTTAAGATGCCACCGGACTCCTTGTTGTTTTTGTGGAAACAGACTAACACAGCTACCCCCTCATACTTGACACCAAAAGGAGAATAGCGGATGAGCCATAAAAAGTAATTGATTAAGATGGGGGATTTAGCACAATTCTTTCACATTTTTTCCGGGGGAGAGGGGACCATTTTGCATGGGACTGTTTTTTAAAATCCAGATTCCTACCTATCCAGATGTCAATTCCCATATCCAAACACTGATGCCAGCCTTCATTGCCCACTTCAATTTTTAAACAACCACCTTTCATGTAGTCTCCCAGGCTGCCTCTTACACTTGGCAGAAGCTCCTCATAAATATCCACAAAGCCTTTGTCCTCCTTTAAATCCCTCCTCAAAACTCTCTTTTGCAGTGATGCCTATTAAAAAAAACTTTACAATGGTTTGGGCAGCTGGTGTGCTAAGACCATGGCTCATCAGACTGTCCAGTATGGTCTCATTGTTTCCTTGTGCTTCCCCATCTGTTTGAAGGGCAAACTAGGGTTTCTAAGCTTCATGGCAGGAGTGTGTTTTAAGTTGAAAGCCTAACTGCCTGGGTAAGGGAGAATGTGCCTTTATTGAAGAGGACCTAGGGCCTGATCCAAAGCTCACTGAAGTCAATGGAAAGAGTCCAACTGACTTCAGTGGGCTTTGGATCAAGTCCATAATGACCAGTAATATACGGACATAGTTTGACGCAGAAGTGGACCTGGCAGCTCTCTAAGTCCCTTGTAAAAACAAATGTCAAATTCACTGAATTATTACAGTCTGCGCATGTGTGGGCGCATCTGTGTTTTTGTGCTGAAAGCTCAGAATGACAGCCTTGCAGACCAAAGTCCTGTCTCCCCACACAACTGTTACAGCACAGGCAGTGAAAGTTCCACGCATAGACTGCCCTTTAGTGATGACCATAATATATTTTGGCCTGAATTACCACAAGGATGCTAGTTAGTTCCAACAGGTTTCATGATTCTTCTGATGTGGATTTTTATTATTGTTAACATCTTTTTGCAACATTTTTCCTGTAATTGTCTGTCATAAATATAAAGAGACGGGTAACAACCTTTATGTATGCAGTAACATCAAATCCCTCTTGGCCAGAGGTACAGAATCACTTACCTGTAGGGGGTTAATCAGTTCCAAAGATGGACTGGCTAGTGGTCACGTTGGACAGCACTTGAGTCTTGAACCAACCTCTCACCAGCCAGTTGTCCAGGTGTGGACCTTCTGGTTTCCTCAAGACCACCACCACTGCCATACGCTTTGTGAAAAGATGTAGAGGTGCAGGCAGGACTGAAAAATGGTAGTTGGGTTGGTTGACCAAAACACGGAGAAATTTCCTGTCGCTCTGACATATTGCATCATGAAAATATGTACTCTAAGTCAAGGGCAGGGTCCTGGTCACCAGAATCCAAGGAGTGGCTAATGAAAGTCAGAGTGACCAGGAAAACTATTTTCTTTAGGCATTTGTTCAACTTTTACAGATCTAGTATGGGTCAGATCTTTTACTTCTGGGATGAGCAAGCAGCGAGTGTAAAAACCAAAAGCCAGGATGGTTTGTTGGGCCTCCTAAGGGAGACCAGATGGCTGGAGTCACAAACATCTGCACATCTTAATGGCCGATACCCCAGCACTAACTGCAGAATCACAACATCCAAATCCACTTTCAGTGAGGTCCAGGCCACTAATTTTCTCTCATCCACCATAGTGAGGAACTATCCATCCTTAAGCTTCAAGATACTGTCCCAGAGGTTAAAGTCATAGCAACCCAGCAATGCCTGCTGATTAGCAATCCTGAACTGCAGTCCAGCTGCTGAATAACGTTTTCTGCCAAACAGATAGCGCTTCATTGCATCCTTTGCTTTCAGAGTAAGATGCTTGCTTATGCTTGCTTGCTTGCTTGCAGCTGAAACCACCAATGACCACCAACAGGGGAGGGGGTGTAAAAATGTTCAGATTCCTGTAAGGGGAGAGCAGACCTTTCTGCTGGGGGGAGGGAGGAGGAGGCATTAGGGAAGATGGAGTTTGCCACAGCACTTTGGTGGGCTCTTGGATAGCCTTATTAATTGGGAGTGCCAAATGTTAAGATGTCGACAAGTCTGTGGGACCTCTCTCAAACCTTATCCACCTGACTATCCCAGGCAGAAGCCACCCTCTTTAAGAGGTTCTGATGGGCTCTATAATCTTCAGATGGCAGTAAGGAGCCCTCCACTACCACTGCCTTGTTGGGTAATGAAGAGGAGGAAGCCAAAGCTGGCTGTGGTGAGGCCTCCTCTGGTTCTTCCAAGGGGAGATTCATCAGAGCAATTTCCTCTTACTCAGTATCAAGCCATGTATCAGGAGTTTCCTGCTGAGATGGCTTTTGATGCCTACTTAAGGAAGTAGAGCAAGAAGGTTTCGGAGACTATCTGGAGGCAGGGGGAAAACCCCAATGGTTCCAAAATGGCCATTGGTAAGGCCCTGGAGCCCAATTTCTTCCAGGCCATGGATCTCTACTTGCTGGCCACCACAGAGCCTCCAGTCACAGGAGAGTTGTGAGCTATGTGATGTAGCTGTGACAAGTATTAGCTGACCTCCAAATCTGACCAAGTATGTGTGGTTTGGGGGTGGGGGTAGAGAGGACGCACCTGTTCCTGTCTGAATCATAGAATATCAGGATTGGTAGGGACCTCAGGAGGTCATCTAGTTCAACCCCCTGCTCAAAGCAGGACCAATCCCCAACTAAGTCTGTGCCAGGTATTGGTGTTGCTAATCTGGAGAAGATGGTATCGAAGAGATCATCACTGGTTTCCCTCTGGACAGCACCATACGATGAGGTTCTCAGGTGTCCAGAGGAGCCCACAGTACTGAACGCTGAAATGAAGAAGCCAGGAAATATTTATTAGCAGTTAACCGTACCACTGGATTCTTGATCCCTAGTACAACCAGTACCAAGAGATTTAGCAAATCATATGCCATAGCATAAACTTCCAGAGTTGACGGCACCAGGATAGTACCTTGCTGCTGAGTCGACAAGGACAGCACTGTTGAACTAGATGGTTCTGCTTCAGGGTCTGGTCTCAACAGGACCTGTTCTCAGGTCCCACCTGAGTAGATTATTGCCTTGGGAGTGCCATGGCCTTGAGTGCACTCCATCATCTTTTTCAGCATGCTTGCTGGACTTAGGTGCCTGGGAACTTGATTGCCCAGATACTGAGTCCTTTGAAGCTATGTTCTGGGTGCCTCTTCCTCATTCTCAGGGAGAGTGACTTGCATTGGGGTTCCACCAAAACAAGAGGAGCCTTCCTGCACCTGCTCCAAGCAGAAAAGCTCCGAGGATGGGAGCAGGGATGACCATCAGAAGAAATTTAAGTCTGGTCTCCTTGTCTTTTTTGATTCTTTGTTTAAAGACCCTGAAGCAGCAACTGGACTGAGGTTGCTCACTCATATCAGATTCTTGCAGGACTCGCAGGTCTTGAGCCTGGTGACTGAGGCATGCCGCAGCACCAAAACCAGTACCAAAGGGAATCAAAGAGCACAGAAAAACCTCACTTTATTAAAGAAAATTTAATACTATTGCTTACTTAACGCACACTATGACTAAACTTGAGCACCACCTATATACAGACAGAGGGGAACCTTGCAGTAGCTAACAACGCTCCAACAACGGTCACAACCAGTACGAAGGAGTGGGGTGGGGGAGGCTCTTTCCTTTATACCATATGCAGTGGCATGAGACAGCAGAGGGCACATGTGCCACCCTGATGGGTACCGCTGAGGACAAAAATCTCCAACAGTGCACTGGGTGTGCACATACTGAAATGGAATGGACATGTGCAATCACCTGAATAAGAACTAACTATTCCTAAACTAACATTAATATTTACAAAACAATAGAACAGCTAAAAGAGATGCATCAAGATGCGGACACCGTGCAGCCCTGTCTCACCGTTACGGATAACAGGAAGGAAGTGAGTAGCAGTTGGGCTGCTCTGCCCTTCATGCCTTTGGTACAGGAGCACAAGAACATGTGTGGCTGCCAAAAGAGTCTGATCTTAAGCGCATGCGTGCCAAGAATAGTGTTTATTATAGAAATATCTAGATTTAGACAAGCACCAGAAGAACTTTTAGTTTACATACATTGATGTCTACTTCTCCTTTTTCAATTTGTTATACATTGCTTTTTTAATTCTAATTGCTGCCTTCACTGTCCCTGCTAGCATGATGGGCTCTTAGCTAAAGTTGTCCTTTTTCTTGAACGTGTAATTGAGACTTTCGGGCCATCTAATAAACTCTTCTTTAATTCCTCCCAACTCTCAATTACATATTTCTGTTAAAATTTTTCCTCCTGATCAATTTTGCTCATAATTTTCCTCAGCTGTAGGAAACTTGCCATTTTAAAGGCACCAAGTACATATAAATGGTAAGTTTATATATATTATATAATTATATATGTATTCTTGGTGGTCCTCTCCTGTGTTTGCCTATACTGAAGATAAATCAGGTCACGATCACTGGTCTCTAGGTAACCACCTGCTTCCAGTCCAATGATCAGTTCATCCTTACCTGCCATAATGATGTCCAAAATAGAGTTACTTCATGCTGAATGCAATATATTCTGTGTTTAGAATATTATCTGTAATTTTTAAAAACTCTACTGACGATTTACTAATGGATGCCTGAGACCTCCAGCATATTTCCCCCAAACTCAAGTCCATTCATTACACACAGGTGCCATTCTCTGGTTACATATAGGTGATTAAACAAAGGGAGTGAGTTTTCACATTTAATCTATGGAAAAATCTATAGCGGTGCCAGAGGCTGGTTAATTCAGTAGTGTTATTGGAAAACAAGATTTCAAATAAAGATTTTAATAGTTTACAAATTAGACTGATTCCAAATAAAATAATCCTAGGGTTCCCTTTTTAATAAGTTCCCCAGCTGGGAGACTGGATGGTTTGAGTCAATTGGTAATGGAAGAAGGAATTCTTCAGCCTAGGTACAAATCCAGATTAATGGTGACAAAGTTATCACTTGATGGCTAATAAATGGGCTACATTCAGTGAATGTGTCAGCCTTGTTCCTAGGGAACAGGAATTGATATCAGCAAATTAACATCACCATTAGCAAGAGTTGGCACCCCTTATTTTCAGTCTCAGCAGAGAGGTGAAGGACTGCTAAGGCATGAAGAGTAAACATCCTTCTCATTTGGAGATGGTCCCTCAACATCAGGTTTGAGGCACACTGGGGAAGCTTCTATTGCAATTGCTTATGCTGTTGAAGATCATTGGATGAGGAGCATTTCACTCTTCAGGGCTATCAATCCACCACTTATTAAAATGGCTAAAAGTTCACTAAAGATTTTAGAGAGAGTTCTTCCAGCTGAGACACTTACCTTCAGTGTGTACACTCCCATTCTCCCTGGGACCTTATAGAAAATGCCCTCTTCCCCTCGGGAGTTTGTATGCAGCATAGCATTCAGACATGCAAGAGGAGAAGTCCCACTGAAAACAAAAGCACAGGATTAGCCTCTAACGTTGAAGGAACACTACTAAAGATGATGTTTACTTGGTCAATATTAGTCCTATTAGTCATTTGCTGAGAAACAGGAGTGAGACACTAATGGTCTCTCATTGCCTTTAACAGTCAAACTGTAAAGCATGCAGAGGTGGAGTGAATCCAGCCCCAGCGGGGAGAGGAGCTGAAGTTGCTATGTCCAAGCAATGTTAGGACCGATTCAATATGCACTTGTCCCAGTCCAGGGGGAAAGATTCCTGCCAAATTTAACATCTCAGACCCTCTCTTCAAATCCTGAGCTAACGAAGTAAATATACCCATGGACAGCTTTGTTTTTAAACACCCTAATTTATTAATATCCTTCACCTTCAAACAGTGAAATTAGAAAATCTGTAGGAGAAAGTAGTACAAAGTCTAGTTAGATGCAGAGAGCGAGAGAGAAAGAACTTAGAATCATAGAATATCAGGGTTGGAAGGGACCTCAAGAGGTCATCTAGTCCAACCCCGTGCTCAAAGCAGGACCAATCCCCAATTTTTCGCCCAGATCCCTAAGTGGCCCCCTTGAGGATTGAACTCACAGCCCTGGGTTTAGCAGGCCAATGCTCAAACTTAATCTGCTCCTGTTCCGTTTTCCTTGAGTTGGGAGCAGAGGAAAGACACTGGCTTGCTATATTGTAGTGGAGCCAAAAATGGGAGACAAACAGCTACAATAACCTCAACTGGGGCTTTTGTGGGGTTTGCAGAGGAGAGAAGGTGGGCATAAGGCTGAAACTCGGGTGGGAAGCTAGCTTCAGAGCAGTCAAACTTAGTTTCAAAAACAGATAAATATTCAGATCACTATTAGGAATTTATTCTTGGATTTGCTGTGAGCTGTATGCTATGTGGAAAAATGCCAGGTGGAGAGATACCAAAAGCTGTACGTGTGTGTGTATAATTATGCACTGTAATGAAATAAGAGATGAGGGATAAGGAAGGGAGAGGAACTATGAAACGTTGCCCACCGAGAAAACTAGTATATGGTGTTTGGATCCTTAATTCTGGGCCACTAGAACTGAAACAGGGAGACCCATATGGGTGCTTTTCCCCTGCTAATGCTGCTTTTTCCCCTGTGCAATTTACACTTCATACTATTCTAAGTTTGCAGGCAGAAAAGTTGGGTGGATAGGGCATGAGACAAGGAGTCAAGTGACCTGGCTTCTATTCCCAAAGCTACCACAGATTAGGCATGTGAGCTCAGGTAGGTCACTTATCTTTTCTGTAAAACAGAGATGATACTTACCCCCTATGGTAAACAATTTTGAGATCTACATATAAAAAACACTGCAAGAATTAAGTACGGATAAGACGCTTCTATCTTCCAGTCCCCCACCACTCCTATACAGAAGTACTACTCAAACTGTAAACTGATTCAACATTCCAGATCAGATACATCTTTCATCTTTTAATCTGTAGTGAATAAACTTTACTATAAAAGTTTACTTCTACAAGGCTAATTTTGTTAAGTTAGACTGTACCTCCCCACCCCTGGCTCCATTTGGGATAGGGATAAGAGAGGAAATCTGGGGCAGAAGACAGTACACAGGAGGTTCAGCCAGCACATATGCACTCCAGAATTATACATTAACACATTAAGTGCTAGTTATAGAGATAAGACAGTTTAGTAGTTAATCATCATTCATTTCTATTACAGTAGCATGCAGAGTCCCCAAACAGATCTGGGTTCCATTGTGCTGGGTGTTGTACAAACACATAGGAAGAGACAGCCTCCCAAAACACTTGCAGTATAGGTTAAGATAACACACAAATTGAATACAAAATGGAGAGTCAGTTAGGATTTTTACTGAACTGTTATACTGCTGTAGTGCCTACAGGCCTCAATTGAAATGGGGGCCCCATTCTGCTAGGTACTATGCTAACACATAGTGAGAGACAGTCCCTGCTCTCGAGAACTTACTGTCTGTATCGATAAGAACATGGCTGGGAGGGGAAACAGAGGCACAGATACATGAAGTGACTTGCCCCACTCACATAGCAAGCCAGTAATAGAGCCAGAAATTTAATCCAGGTCTCCCGACTCCAAGTCCAAAGACCTAGATCTTAAGGACTGAAAGGACCACTAGATTACAGTCTGACTTTCTATATAACACAGGCCCTAGAATTTTATCCAGTTACTCCTGCATTGAGCCCAGTGATCCGAGTTCTGTCCCAAATGTAGCCATGTTTCAGAGTAGCAGCAGTGGATGTAGCCATGGATTCTGCAGTCTGCAGATTCAGTTTATGAAACTGGACAGGTTTTCTGGAGAGCTTTTGGAAACAAATTTGTTTGTAAAATGGCAATTACACCTTACGTCTCTAACTACCCTTTTGGCTTTACTAATGCTGTGGGCATATGCAATAGTTCTCATAAGTTTCACTTCTTATAAAGCTCAAAAGGGATGGTACCTCTGTTACCTGCTAAACTTCTAGCAGCAAAGGACTACTCTAGTCTTTCAATATATAATTCCCTACAGAATTAGTCAGACTGATCCACACAGCCAGTATGCTCAGGCATTGTGTCGAGATCCAGAAAGATCTTCAGTTCATAATAAAAAGCTTCAAAGCATTTCTGTGTCTGCCATCTTAACTGTTTAAGGAAGTGTTAACCTAGATTACTTTCCAGCTATCCCATTTTTGTCCTTCATTGTAGCACCTTTAGGATTCCTTGGTGAGACACTGCAGATTGAGGCAAACACACAGAGCCAACTCTGAACTACCTTTATTAACAAGCAGGAAGAGAAACAGTATACAAGTACATCTCGTTACTTGTCCAAAGTTTATAAGACACAACAACAATTGAAGCACCTAAGCAACATCTATAAAGTATCATAACATCCTGAGGAAATTGAGGCCAACACAGCACATCTAGCAACTGTACCAAGTGCAATGTCCAGCCTGAAAGAGTATGTATGCACACAGAAGCATTCACAATGTTGCCAAAGTGCTACAGTTTTTCATTTTTAGAAGCCAGTGTTTTATCCATGGCAGTTTCCACATCATTTTAGAGAACACTGGGGCCTTGCTCATAGCCACTGTTATTCATTATTTCTGTGTGTCTACACTCATTCTCGTGTGTTAACTATTCCCCAGCGTACCATATTTATCAATTCTTTGGACAGGTATCTTGTGTGTGTTTGTGAAGCTCCATGTATATTAGGCACTATGTTAAATAAATTTCTGCTTGCAGTCTCTTCTTCAGGATTATTGCTTTCAAAGTTTATCATGCCCATTGAATAGTTGTGTACTGAATGTATTAGCTTCCATTGACACATTTGCTAATTTCCATTGGTACTTATAACCACTTTCCCCCAACACTCATGCCTGAACTATGATAGTGTGTACTGGACTTATCTGCATCAGCTTGGAAGTTTATTTGGTAGCCTTCAAATATCCCAATTTCCCTCACTTAATAATATCTTCTGAAAATTTAACATGTTCCTTATCGCCTCCTCCAATTCATTAATGAAAAGGTTAAGAATTCAAAGAAGAGAGAATCAACATCCAGTATAATAATAAGATAACTTCTCTATCTGAAAAATTTAAATAAATATATTGGGGGGGGGGGGGGGAGTTGCTGTGAGGGTTAACTAAATAGCATTTATAATATGCTACAGAAGGACAAACTGCAAAGGATTGTTAAGGGCACTCAGTAATAGAAATGAGAAAAAGTACTGAGGAGTTCTGGGCTCTCAGCCCTCTGCTCATTCCTCTAAATGACTTGACTATTCAGGTGAGTTATGGACATCCTGATATTTTGCTAGAGTGGCCAAATTTAAATCTTTGTTAGTTTAGATTAAGGTATACTAAACATTCTAAAAAAATTAAAATCAAACAGAGAAGCCTAACAAATTCCTGTTGTGCATACATGCCTCAATGATCTCAATGAGATTAAAGAAAACCAAGTTTCAAGAAAACTGGTTCATCAGAGTTTTATGTGAACAAGGTTTCTGGTTGAAACATGCCCAAAAATGGTTTTTGTTTCTAAATGTGTATATGTTTGCACAACGATAACATAGCTCCATGGAAAATTTCAACCCAGGGGGGATTTGTTTATTGGACTAATAGTCCACACTTTATTTAGAAATGGTTTATAACAGATAATTGAGGTTATAAACATCTTACAGACATGAGCAGGATATGTTACAGATCTGCAGTGTTGTAGATGGCCATAAGCAACTCACCTTTTGGACTAAATTAACCATGACATCTATTAAACATTAGCTCTATTTATAAATGGAACCTTAATATAAAATATGTCAGAGTAATGAATATGTAGACATTCATTACACATAATCGCTGCAAATTGGGATTTTTTTCAGTTTTTGCTTTTGAATACTGCTAGCTTTATTTTTTAAAATTAATTTCCCCTCCTTCACTCTGTGTTTTTGCATCTGAGTTACATAGATATGAAGAGTGTTTTCAGTTTCCCTCCCTAACATTTTTTGCATTCAAAACTGGAGCACACAGAAAACTTGAGGTGAACCATTTGATTAAAAATGCAGTTTAATTTGTCTATTTATTGGAATATCTGAGCATAGATGCATTTTAAGAATTGATACTGTTTGTACTAACTACCAAACTCTAGAATGTACAGTTACAATTCAGAAAAAGCTTGGAATGTTAAAAAAATAAGTTATAAAGCATGTGTTAAACTTATTTCACACAGAACAAGACAAACCTCCTCCAAAAAGCACTAAAACAAAAGTGCACATAAATACACTGTCATGCAAATCAAGCTTTTGATCACACATTTCAGGTTCACAAACAGTTCTAACGTTAATTTGTAAGATACTAAGCATTCCCATGCTGTTAACTTAATTGACATCTTCCACACACTTCACAAGCAGATTAGGTTTCAAATTTGCATTGCACTCTAGTGCTAATGCAAACAGCATGCACAAAAAGGTAGATTCAACTAGTGAAAGCTTTAACGCTAATTATACAGCTACCT